AACTTAACCAGACGTATTTCACGTATTACGCAGTCGAAGTTATGCTTCGAAGAAAAATAGTTAAGCAAATTTTGTTAGCCGGGAACAGAGGCTACACTTTGCCCTAATTACCTTGAGATATCACTGCTGATTTCGTTTCTTTACACATGGACTCACACGTACACATAAAAGAATACAAATACACATTCTTTTACATTGACATATGAGATTAACTAACCAATTCACTCCATACCTCAGAATGCATAGGTCTATAGTATATATACAGCCTGTAGGGGTAAGGCGGTTGCTTTTCCTTAATTAATTGTAGAAATAGCAGGCTTTCATGATGTCTCATCACAGACAAAGGCCTAATACTTCTTCCTCGAAAGACACTTTTCTTTTCACATGAGAGATAAGAAGAAAATTAGAAAGATATTCTCGTTTTTTTAATATTAACTTAATAATATTTCCAGCCGTTATTGATATCATTGTTACCTTCGTGCCATAAAAAGATACAACTAACTAGCTAAATAAGTATATAAATTATTGTGTGTGTGTAGTAAGAGATTCTATTAGATCTTTCTTCCATTTTACTTGCAAAAGTAGCAACCACTAAGTCGTTTCGTGTCTGTATCAAGAAATCACGTTTTTTATTTCAGCCTTAGTATTGCCACATTTGTCTTTTTACTTTCAGAAAATGGTTGCTGAAATACCCCCGGGTCTGATTCATGATGGCGATCTTCTTTCCTCTAACATTAAATGCCTAGCCGATAGTTCGATATTGGCTGATGAGACTTTGGCAGAGGTTGAGCGAGAACGCGTCAGCTCACTATTTTTGACCTTCGAAGTATTTAGAAACTCTGAGTGGAATCATTACATCTCTAACTCTAACCGGAGGGATGTAGAGATGACAGTTAAACAAAAATTGCGAACTATATTAGACAATGAGGAAAGGCTCGAGTTTTTCCAACACGCTAAGGAGATACAAAAAGCCGCCTGGCTTGCGCCTCGTAGCCGGTCTGAACGTAATTGGTCTCGTTTGAAAGAGTGGCGTGAAGATATTACCGAATACAACAGAAAAAAACAACGTCGCGATGTGTCTTAATCCTTTATTATTTTCTCCATTATCCATGATCCCGAAGTGATTTATCTTAAATACATTCGTTTCATCTTAGCTTCATTGTTATTGTGTTCGTTCTAAAGTTTAGATGAACTGGCTTTATCTGAGTTCTAAGTCTGCGATTAGTTAATGTTGAATTTTATTTAGATAAGAAATGATCAGCATCACTATCTAAAGAAACTAGAGTTTTTTCTACAAGCGGCCCGGTGAAAGGTTCATTCGGAACTAAAATTGTGGGACTTCAAATATTTAATAAGGTATTCAACTTTTTGAAGATGTGAAGACCAAGATGTTGTGGCCTCGGGTATGGTCGCAGTCTCCTTTCGGCTTATAGAAGTG